CTGAAGACTTCGCTGCAGAGCCGCATTCAGCGGTTCATCGTGCCAGTTCGTCACATGCCAATGAGCGCCAATCACTCGCAAAATAGTACTGCCCAGCAACTCGTCTACAAAAAAAGGTTCAAATGGGGTAGAGGGGTGAGGCTCACGCCCAAACAATAGCAAAAAGGACCGAATGCGTGAAACAACAATGTGAACAATACATAGAGCACCCTACCGATAGCCTCACACGAGTCGTAACAAATAGCGCTGAGGTCTTTCTCGATGAGAATCTACGAGGTTTCAGCCCAGTTCGAGAAATTACATCAATTCCTGCACTGTAAGCTAAAAAATAACGTACCCAAATAATCCTCAGTGTGAGGAAAAGCAACATCTCGGTAAGCAAAGAATAACTCCGCAGCGTTTTTGCTAACAAGATAGCTTCGAGTTAGTGGAATGCAATAGTCGAAAAGTAGATTTGTCCTGAAAAGTAAGGGTCAGTAAATAGTTTAGGGCACAGCATAGAGGATTCCTAGAGGTATTTAGCTCCACTCCTCCCCTTACCATGAAAAATGGACTCAGAGGATTAGCACAAGCTCTGACGCTTTTGGTGGGGAGAACAATGAGGCCAGTTCGTACCTCGAGAATGTGCAGAATCCAGACAACCCGCGATTTTGAAGAACCTACACTCGAGAGATCGTGCCAAAAGGGAAACATACTATGTTCGGAGATCCACAGAGAGTCAGTTAAGCGGACAGATAGCAATCGACTAGATCTTATTCTCCTAAGTCGTGAATCCTTCTGAACCATGCACTCTCCCGAGCAAAGATTCTACCAGTCGGGAATATCTCTCCCACACTCTTCCACCTGTTTTCGCTATATTCGCAAAGTAGGGAGCACACACTATTCAAGGGATGGTAAAATGGCATGAGCGGGTATGTACTACCAGGCTTCGAGATGCAACGATAGGAAGCTGTTTTAGTATGATAATTGCTGTTTCACGCAGCAGTTCGCGCTCGGAAAATACCACAAGAATGCTGAGTTATTTACACATCGAGACCATAGGTGGGACTCGAACCCGCATCTCTTGCTGGCTGGACGAGTGCGTTGTCCATTACGCTTAAGAATACGCTCTCTGCAGCACAGCTCAGTCTACCTGGGTCTGACTTTCGCGCATAACCCAGCACCAAGAGGGCCTGGAGAGAAAGTGAATGGAGCCATAGTCGCAAGGATGTAAACAAACGACGCAACTGTTAAAGAAAAGGACCTGCTCATAGCTCCAGCATGATCAGCAGCCACCATAGCTCGAGCTTCATCTAGCTTCGCTTCGGCAACAACATACATTTGACGCATTTCATCTCTTATCTCCTGAAATTGAAGTTGCACATGACCAGTAAGCTAAAAACATAATGGAAATGGAACGGTCTAAAGCTGTGAAAGAATAACCTTTTCTTTCGCTAGTTCCTTCTCCATCACTTGCTTTTGAGCGGCCGTCAATTTACCCTCCTTTCTTTTCTTCTCGGCAAGTTCTCTTCGGAGTTGCATTTCCGCGACTTGATCACGGAAGCTGTACGCTTTATTTTCTCGGCGCATATTATAGGTTATTTCGCCTTCGTCACTGAAAACCAGACTCGTTGACTTTGCTTTATATGAGCTGAGCATTGAAACAGAACAGTGATTGTTCCACTTTGAGGAAATACAGACAAAAATGACCGAACTTGAAATACACGCAAAAACGGCCGCACTTACAATTCTAGAACTTCTGTATTGTAGAGATGTCCTTCAGAACACTGATAAATCAGAACATGTTTCTCAGGGATCCGCACATACTCGGAAACGTCAAGTTCAGCTATACTCTTTTCTATGTGACTCCAAAGTGCTTCACGTACAGATGGGAAATTTAATGCCACCAGTGTTATAAGAGCATTGTCTCTGAATAACGGCAAGTGATATTATTGACTCTTATAAGCTGCAAATTATAAGACCGCGTTCATACTTTGCAATTTGATATATTCGGCAATTTGAGAGATTGCGCGACAAAGAACGTATCGATCTGGTGGCTGCGAAAAGTGAACGATCTGGTGAATCGCGAAATCAACGAAATCAAGCGATCCGGAGATTAGGAGACTCGGCTTCGTCAGATCGTTGAATCGGCGAATCTGGTCTCGTCGAAACGCTAGCGACCCGTGCCGATCGATGCCAATGCAGTCCTTTGACGATGGCAATGCCGAGTCCCCAGATCGCGAATCTATTCAGTCGCAAGTAAAAACGCGGTCTTACAAAAAAAGATATCAACGATGACAAACCTGACGCCTCGGTCGGAGCAACGAAGAACTAGCTTAATAGCTGTTTCTTTGAAGAGATCACTATTCTCTAAATGGGCGGTACTAGCCTGGCCGCGCATCCATCTCAACCACACCGATCCATCAACTTCGACTGAAACGTATGTTTAAAACAGCGGTAAGCAGAATCGAGCAACAAACATGCTGAAAAGCGAACCTAGTCTTTGGACCGAAGCCAGCAACAAAGTGTGTATGGCAAGCTTATCAATTTCTGGTCCTTTTGGTGTAAGTAGCAGTCGTAGAGCCTCAATTAAACAACATTCGAGAGCAGCGAGTGCCAGGAACACAAATCTCGGGCGATGTTCATAGTTTGCGCGACTAGCGAATCAGTAACTCGGTTCACGAATCTCGCGACCGTCCGCTCTCCACCGCTAGTTGCCGTACCCTAATTCATTCATATTCGTGCAGGAACTTCTTCCTATCTTTCTATCGCGATCCAACAATTGCAGTGGAGCGCAGTAGGCCGTGATTTCTAAACCTCTTGACTGAATCGCTTGCGTCGCGGAGTATGAACGCGGTTTCAGGTTTAAATACAGCTCACCTGCACGTACCACTCGCCGGGAACTGTAAATGACAAAGGGTCTTGATGACAATGCATAACTTTGCGTAGTGTCTGCAACAAAATGGCAAAAAATAGGTGATAGGAAATCAAATGGGGTACGTCAAGCAACCTACCTGATCTACAAATCCATTAATGGTCTCTGTAAATATAACATCCGCTAATGCTTCAGCGAAATGAGATTCTTCAACAGTGAGGATTCGTTCCAACGCTAGTGATGAGCGTTTTCTTACTTGCCAGTGGGGCCAGAACAGTAAAATCGTCATTGACTTCAGACACATAGGAGGATAGGAACCAGGCTGAAAAGGTGACTTGAACATTCCTTGAAAAAAGAAGCACATTCAGATCAGTGCAAGACCTCAGACTTGATCTCTGTACAAGGATCAAAATCAGACGAGTAGTGGGGGAAGGGGATTAGGGAGCTGAAAAAGGAAAAACGGAATTCAGACGAACACCAAAACGAACGCTAGCTTAATTCTGAGACCTCCTTGTTAAAGCTTTGCGTTGAGGGGTCGAATAATTATTTAGCCCAGTACAATCTACTCGGCCACTCTGGCCCGCAGGATGAAGGAACGGAGAAATTACTAGCACCTGTTGCAGGAGTTCTACGAAACGGAACGACAGGTGACATAAGTAGCTTGCCCCTGGTTGATGCCATCACAAGAAAAGGATGGATTAGGTCCAAGGTTTGTAAGTCCCAAGGAAACATTGAAAGATCTCACCACGCTTCGCTAAACATCGAAGCAAAGTCCAAAAAATTGGAAGCCACATAAAAATGCAACTCACAGTATTAAACCTTTCGTTGAGGGTTCGAGATAATATTTTAGCCGATACATCTACTCCCCACTCGACGATGAAGGAACGGAGAAATTACTAGCACCTGCTGCAGGAGTTCTACGATAAACGGAACGACAGGTGACATAAGTAGCCTGCCCCTGGTTGATGCTATCACAAGAAAAGGATGGACTAGGTCCAAGGTTTCCAGGTCCCAAGGGAACATTATACCGTTAGAGAAGAAGATGTGCCCAATAAAGATCTCACCACGCTAAACATCGAAGCAAAGTCCAAAAAATTGGAAGCCACATAAAAATACAACTCACAGTGTTCGAGATCGGTCTTTCGAGAATCATTTTTTCAGTGAGATCAACCCATGCGAAAGCATCATCCGTAGACATTGCGGAAAGAGCTCTGTCCTTTAATTATAGAATTGGAGTGGCGAATGGAAAGACTAACATTCGTGAGAGAGCGTTCAGACTCCACGATCTGACCGCTCAAATCGCGCGACTGGATAGCGAAGCCTGGACACGCACTAAAAGATTAATAAGGCGTTAGGCAACCAATACCTTCAGAACTCCATCATAGACGGAGACCTTCTCCCAGACTTTACTGTGGTTCGGTGTACCAGCATTAGAGCTCTTCATAAGAAGAAGAGATAATGAAATGAACTGCAGAGGTTCTTTGTGAACCGCGTCGAACTCTTGCCATAGCTGCTTCTCGCATTCTGCCGGCAGTGCTTTCATTTCACCTGTGTGATTTCATAATTAGCAAAACTAAGTAAATTGAAGAGCTTACTTACATCTTGAGAAGATTTTAGCCAGCGTTCGGTAGCCAATATGACGAACAGCTGATAGAAGCAGTGGTGCGCTCTTGAAAAAAGTTCTATTATTAATATCGATCATGAATTATAGCAAAACATTACCTTGAACGCAGCGGCTAGAGCAGAAGAGTTGCCACTGAGCCACTTCGCCCAGGCAAAGGCCGAATTCCATTGGGCAGCTACGACATTCTCATGTCCTAAAGATCAATAAATTTGTAACTGAGAGTGGTTGAACAATTCGTGAACAGACCTTCCTTGTCAGGAGTAGTAGCCTTCGCGATTACACCATTTGCCACTTTCTCGAGCGCTGACGAACTGGCATTTTTCGCATCTGCACAACTGGCCACCCCGTCCAGAATTGATACACGTTGTTCAGAAGATTTGGCAGCTGAATGATTCATGTGACAGCGCCCATCGACATAATCCACACTATAGCGCGCCCGTGAACAATATGCATATATGCTTCGAACGGTGCGTCCCATGGCACGAAGTGCACTCGGTCGATTCCCAAAAAAGGAATCACTGACCAAACAAATATAATCTTACATAAAAAGTTGTTCAACAGTACGCATTACAATATGGACCGCTGGATGGAAGGTTCTAAACTTCGGCTCAGTTCGGTTTGGTGGGGGCATTTTGCTGGTTCCTATCGTCCACGTCTGATGCCTGTGGAGGCCTGTGAATTACTATAAAACAGCAGGAACTTTGGTAACATTTGGCAGTGGTTCATAGGTCTCATCAGGGGGTAAATTAACTCAAAGTATCCCAGAAACCGGCGAAAGAGCAATAAATATGCTCTTCCCGAATCCAACAGCGCTTGCACTTTTAGTTGCTTTTTGTTATCTTTCAATTTCAATACTTCATCATATGACCAGTGTGTAACCAGCAGGCTCTTCGTAGAACGAAAGGGCTCCTGTCTGAAAATCACCTGTGATGATTTATACAAAGGAGCCTTTCATCATATTTTTAACGCCCTAAAACCGCCCTAGTACTTCAACAATCGCCGAAAATTTCGTCTTTGAAGGCTGCTCGGTGCCCTACGTACAAGTAAGACATTAATTCTATTGCGCACTAGCCCTTTCGTGTCGAAAACCAGCACTAAATAAACAGTTTAGACAATGGAAACAAAGATGAATAAGATATTGGTAAGCGGAGGACTGAAGCATACTCCGAAGTGAGTTGTAGCTGAAAAAACGCGACACCCACCAGTGAGCTGCTCAAAAAGATAGTTGACAATCTTTTCCACAGTAGGTGCTTCCGCCATTGTAGCTAACGCCGCGACACCGGCTATCGCTGTCATCCTCATCTCTTCTGATGTTGATGTGATAGACGCTAAAATCTACTATAGAAAAATGCGAGCCAGGAGTTGAACAGGAAGAAACTCTCACACGTTAGTCCTTTCAGTAGGTCGTTCACAAAGTCGTCAAGTGAATGTTTGGAAGATTGAATCGCTTTCACAATACCTGAATGATTGAATGAAGGAGTACGATCTCAAACCTCTGAGGAGCACTGCAGGAAATTACCGAATAGTGCCACCTCAGGACTCCGCAGCAGTGATTTCTTGATGTTCGGCAACAAATGATCACGGAATTCCGAGGCTGAAATGGAACTTAGACCTGCACCGCAGAAGTCCTGAAAGGAAATGTTTGATCACAACTAGCTGGGTGGGCTCATATTAAGAACAAAAAACCAACGATGACAAACTGCTCCGGCCTGGTCTTCGGAAGAAGAATTGATTTGGAAAACATGTCCAGGTATAAATTATGATCGATATCAGCTTGCATCTTGAATACGTAAAGTATGAAGACAAATCGGAGACGAAAAGTCTGATGACCCTACCTTGAGGAGGAATGTCATTAAGCAGACCATCTTCTTGGCAGATGAAGGATCCTTACACACTTCTGTGATCCCTTCCTTCAAGCGGTTAGCTTGAGCATCATCACGAATCAACTTTCGAAGCTTCTTCTCAAATATCCAACATGGTCTACGTCCCACGCAGCAATAATATGACAGATTTCCCAATGCAGATACCTAATAAAACAAAAAAAGTATGCAAGCCTCGCGCCGCTCAGGAGAAGTATTAGGTCATCCCATTCAAACGTGCCGCTGGTTTTTTTTGAATAAAACAAAGAGGAATAGATAGAAAAGTGATATTTTAGCTTTAGGATGAGTAAATCCCTCCTTCACCAATGACCCGCTCCCAGTGCCCCGAGGGCCTTTGGACCTCTGGTACCTTCGATTTTTCAAATAAGGTGTGGGAAATTGCTGTTGTTGCCAATTTCGGCAAATGACAAAACATTGTAGCGTCTGCCGTCGAAGAGTACTCTCTACTGAATAGAACAGTTGTAATCGCATGGCTTTATGACGGGCGCGAATGGGGCGATTGTGAAACCCAGTCCTTGTATTGTTTGTGTCCCAGCACTGATCTACAATACAGTTACTCGGGGTCTGGCACTATGACGAGCAACGGTGGCCTTCTTGTAGTTGTGTGGTAGCATCCATTTGTCGATCTGAATGCCGAGGAACAGGCAATATGCACCGACAGTGACGGATTTGTTCTCTGTATAGAGCCGCTTGAAAGCCACAGTGTGGGAATCCTTTGCTATGATGATCATCCACTTGCGCCCACGTAACTCTTTCATGGTAGAACTCGGGCGGCTTCTCATCTGCATTCATTACAAAATTTGAGATTGTTGAGTTTCGGCCTCGAGGTCCGAGACCACCCATATTTCATCTAAGGCCTGGGTGCGTTTTCACAGTTGTGAGTGACATCTCATGCTGAGAACATTACTGCTAGAGGTATAGAATCGGTACTGCGTTCGTGCTTCTATAAGAAAATTAGGTACCCATGCGCCACCCTCTTGACCATCCTCAGTTTATCGGACATAACTCGGGCAGCAGTTGCAGCTGGGATGTCAGACTCGCGGGGAAGCTCGACAAGGGTCCAGGCTCTGTGATCAGATATTCAGTGCCTGACTTCATCCACCCGTTTTTCTTGTGCAGGATGAATATTATGGGACCATCCACGACAACAAATTTTTTCCTTTCTTCCTTGTACGGGCTCCTGAACCAGATTTCGAGAGCAACTCCATCGTGCTATTTCGAGAGCACACTCTTACACAACAAACTATGGTCCGGCGCAGGTCAAATTTGAGCAGCGCACTTGACGTCTGATTTGAAAAACCGGCGCCGATTTTCACCACTCGGGCTTCTTTTCAATTTCTCGAGAACTTCTTCTGGGCTAGGTTCGCCAAATTTCACAGATACACAGCTTAAGGTACTAGCTTCCAAATGGTATAGTAGCCCGCTGCTCTATCCCCTTTGCTTTTCTGCCATTCCTCTATATGTAGCGGCACGTTTGAATGGGATGACCTAATATTTTCCACTGTCGCTAGTTCCTTTCGTTAGTTGTTAGGTAGCAGGGCTTGATTTGATAAGACCTCATCAATTGTAAAGCTATGTAATGGTACAAGTGAGCCACTTTGGTTGCAAGAAATTACAGGTCTGCACAAGGTGATCTGTACGGGTTCGAAGCACCATTTCTTGTCCGAAGCTGTATTGCGCCCAATCCAGCCCAATGGCAATGTTTTACCGTTGCAATAAAGAAACTGCCAAATCGCAAGTCAGAATAAGAATGAAAACATCAGTCTTGTGTATAGAAAAAAACTAACCAGTTCGGGCACAGCTGGGTCGGCAACTCCTGAAAAGTGTCGTAGAATCCATTTCGAAGGTGAAACTGCCGTGCCGGCAATGCTTTCACTGTAAAACAGTGTTAATGGGATAAAAATTAGATATGCTCATTCAGATATGATTTGTAAGGAGTTGAATCTATCGCAAAGCCCCACCCCTCCTTCCATCCTGACCCCCTCGAGCAGAGTTCATATTTTCCGACGGGAGAGTGAGTAGGAAAACCGGCAAACTGGCCTTTCTAAAGAATGCGCTCCAAAGGAAAGTATTGGTAGTATCTACTCAGCGATCAGGGAAAATAGAACAAAAGAGTTGCCGAATCGACGAGCGAATAGGTATCAAACGACATCGGAAGGTAGCGATTCGACGTTCAGGGAGAACGCGCGTTCTCCTCGAACGTCGAATGTCATTCGATACCTATTCACTGCTTTGACGCCGTTCTCGCACAACGTTAACCCGCCGATCATCCCATTCTCTCGGCGTCGTATGGAGACACATGCTGCTTCTTTATCTTGCAATGCTAATATACGTTATCACAAGAATGCTGAGTTATGGGCAAAAGTCGTGCCCCAGGCGGGAGTCGAACCCGCACCTCACGCTTTCCGGGCGAGTGCGCTATCCGTTACGCCACCAGGGCCGCTTTTACCCTCTCAGCTTAACGGCTTTTATGCCGTAGCCTATCAGCACTCACACGTTTAACTTGGTGAGCCGGTCAGCCGTAATCGCTAGTTATCGGCAATGAACCGCGATAACCGTTAGTGCTGATAGGCTACGGCATAAAAGCCGTTAAGCTGAGAGGGTAAAAGCGGCCCTGGTGGCGTTAACGGATGGCGCACTGGTGCATTATCCCAAAGAAGGAAAAAAAAGAAGAGTCCTCGAGAACACCATAAACAAAATCGCTCCCTTACAGTCACACCGCCCTGCGGTCTCTGTGCAACCCCTGGCTCACAAATCCTTTATCACATCTCCCAGTAGTGGATATCATCCAGTGCAAAAAAAGAATACGAAAAACAACAAAAACACGGAAGAAAAACTCTTGAAAAGGAAAAGAAACTTTCAAAAACTCGGCGTCCGAATTTAGGGTTACGGTAGCGTGCATCTTTTAGTGTAGTGTAGTGCGTCGAGCTTTTGCACCACGAAAATTGGGTCGCTCGTGATTTTTACGCGTTTTACCGCGAGATGGGTTGGAGTTGACTGTATGTGCTCCCAATGAATAAAATGTAATAAAGGAGAGCAGAATTATTCATGGGCACGAGCGCGGTCAGCAAAAAGGACATGCAATTCCGATTAATGCCCGCCGCCCCAACAAAGAACAACTGAGCGGCCCTCCGTCAGAGGGCATCTAGCAAGTGGGCGGTCCAACTGGGCGGGCGTTAGAACTAGAACTTTCAGCGGCTGTAGCTCGCTCCTCGCTCGCTGTGGAGTCGAATAGAGTGGGACAGTCTCTAGCTTGGGGGCTGTACTACTTGCACAAGGAAGGACGACCATGTACTACTTGAGCGCGGGGGCTGCCTTCATTCACATTCAGCATCGGTATAGAAGACTCGGCAGGCCTGGGCGGGAAGTGAACCGGGGATCTTCCGACCACGCGCATGGTAAACATTGTCACAAAAGTAGCACCTCCGCCTCCTATTTTCGTAATAAATGCCTCCAATAAACCTGTAGTCCTGAAACCTAGCACATCTACCTCTCTGTGACTTTATATAATGCTAACCGTACCATACCGCTCGATCCTTTCTCCTTCATTAGGCTCCCTGTCGTTCTCTCGCCCCTCCCCCCGACCCATCTCCCTTTCCCATACCAGTGGCTTATAGTTCTCGACTGTTCTCACCAGTCGTCTCTCTTTGAAGTCGTCTAAGAATGCATAAACATTTATAAGAGGGAAGCATGTTTAGTTTTATATGGAGCGATGGTCCCACTTCAGTACCTCAGCCTTTATCATTCCTCCATTTCCGCGAGTGCACAAAGTAAATTCAAAGAATCGATAGTGTATAGGAGAAAATGAGAAAAAGGGCACCTAATATTAGGCGTCAGTGGAAAGAGCGCAAGAACGCTCTGAGCCAGCGAACGCCCTGTCGCCCCTGCATCATGTTTGGCCAAGGCATTGAGAAGATTTTCCACAGCCTGAAAATAATTAATGTGAGGAGTATAAACCTACTTAGCTCAGCATCTTACCTTAAAACTCGCGTGATGACGATAACGAAGAACAGCAGCGGTGACAGCGAATTTCACAATCCCTTTTATGAAAGGTTCTGGTACCGCTTAATGAGTGCCACATTTCTATCTTCCTAGTGAAGGAAGAGAAAAAAAATGTGAAGGAAGGGAAAAAAATGCAAGGACATACCTTCAACATGGCTGATTACTTTGACTAATTGAGTGTAGGCCTGCACGTGAATCCGTACACTTGGGTCATTCACATTGCCAGTGAATTTGCGTACTTCCTCTTTCAGCCATTGAGCTACAGAAACAACTTCTACGGCACTGCACTACTTGAGGGTAGAAGGAGCAGCCGCAATCCTAAAAATGAAGCAGCGCGCAGGCTCTGGGTCTGCATTTTTCCAGGAATAAAGACAAACTGTTCGCTCACCCCGTAAATCCTGATCCTCACCACCTCATCTCTGAGATGAATGGATTTGCAGCTACAGCAACATGCCACTTTCTCAAGTTCAATGTTCACGGGAACGAGAGTGAAGGGTAGACATCCCGGTGCTAACTATAATCCGCCTCGCGGCCACACCTAGCCATAGCCAAACCCCAACCTGTGTGCGCCATCTCACTTCCGATGGTTCCTTGCGTGTTTCGCTGTGGGATCTTGACACCGACGCAAGAACTGCACACTGGGATAGCGCAGGCTGATAAAGATCCATCCTGCCCACAACTTCAATGCTCAGAGCAATCTACCGTATCAGCGTCGGTGGACTTATATACCCAAGGAGGTGGTTTTTGAAGTTTCCTTCAGACACAACGCAAAAGGTAAATCGTTCCGCTCGAATGCATCATCTTTGTCATGTACACACTGCACCATTATCTAATAGTAGATGCCTTTTTGAGATCTTTTTACAAGAGCATAGTAAGTTCAGGTGAGTCTTCGATCGTCGCTAGTTCCTCTTTTGCAAAATGAAGGAACTTCCTATGATAGAGCACAAAAAAAGCTGTTTACAACGATGCTAGGCACAATACAT